ATGCTCCTCAAAATTTCAGCTTTGATCATTTTCCTTCTCTCTCCAAGCACTTATTTGGTTAATTTTATTTACACTTTTGATCTCAATTTCAGGCTAATGACCCCCAAACATATACCTACCTCTTTAGTTAAGATCTCTTTTGGATTTCTTTTTTATAAATTTATTTGCTCTTTATGTGTAATCATGTAAAGATTCCACTGAAAAGTAAACTTGAGTTGTATGAGGCTATGTAATGTATGAGGCTATGCACTGTATGAGGCTATGTGACCAAAATTGTTTAAACACTTTAATAAATATGCTCTCATTGGATTTTCATAAAACTCTATGAAATAACCATAACTGCTATTTCCATCTTACAGATAAGGGAACTGAGACACCTCATTCCTGATACTTACCCAGGGTCACTAAACTAATGAGTGGTCAGAGGTTACCCCTCCTGACAAAGGCCTTCCAACCTGAAACCTAAGATGAATCCTGAACTACTCTTTGCCTCATATCAAAGTGGCTACTGTATTCTACTTATTTTTAAATATAAGTATCTTTCTAATTCATTCTTTCCTTGTTAATTCTATTGTCTTAGTTCAATCAGTTTTAATTTCTTGCCTGAAATACTTCAGTAGCTTTCTCATTTTCACCGTGCCCCTTCTAATACACTCTTCACAAAAGTGGTCTTTCCCATCCTAAGCATGTCACGTCCTTGCTGAAAGCTGTCCAGTATCTACACTCTCCCTTAAAGAGCAGAGTCTGTAAGGCAAAGAAATTCATCTACTACCACCATCCAGTGCAAATATGTGGTATATTTAAAAGTTCCTGAAAGGTATAATGCTAATCCGCAAGTACGTGCCATTTCAGATATCTTCCTTCCTCTTTAAATCATCTCCTGGTTAAAAGACATGACCCATCTAATTGCTTTTTTTACCTTTATGTCTCAACTCTTTTACTGATGTCTCTGGAAAGCTAGGGTTCCCAACTGATGTTTTTGCACTCTCTGTATCTCCATGATACTTGGCACAGTCTAGCCACTGAGTAAACACAATGAATGAAAGACAGGCACACGGGTGAGATGCTTTATGCTTATCTCTGTATCCTATCAGACTAATGAGACAAGCACTAAACAAAGAATGAAGCTGATTTTGGCTTTTATGATTCAACTGTAGCCCTTTAAGAAAAGCTTTGATCTTGAATTTCCTTCTAATTCTAGCATCCTATGATTCTACTCTACTAAAAGTTAAATTATACCTTTGTCCAGCACCAGTTGCCTCAAAAGCAGGAGCACCTAGAAATGAAATTCCATACTTTTGGGATTTGGATCAAATGGCATCAGATAGCAGACATACTCTGGCAGCACTCCATGCCAACGTCCACATCCATTAGGTTTGTTTACTAACTAGTCACATTATCTATTTCATGTTGGGATTTCTTTAGGGTGTGGTAAAATTGGACAGATGGGTTGAAAGCCTTCCTTCAGGCATAATTCACATAGGATTGGGCATATGGGTTCCAATAAGCAAGCTCTAGGCTTGGAAACCATGGGTACAACACAAAAAAAAGAATCTACCATTATCTAGTGATGGGTAAAAATATAGTTGGAAATAGAGAAATTTAAAAATAAGGTTTGAAATGCATAAAAAAAACTGGAAAAGTGGCACTGCACCATCTCACTTCCCTTCAAAGATCCAAACTTTTAGGATATAAGTTAAATATTGCAATAATAAGTGATCCCAGAAAACTAAATATAACTTTTCTAAAAGATCCAACTCAGCAATAAAAGATGCCAACCTGAAATAAGTTTTCTCTTAACAAACAGGGCCCAGTTTAATTAAATATTTCTATAAGTGAACCATAATATTCTTATGAATATTAAATAAATGGGCAAAGAGTATTGATTTGGGAGGAAAAGGTTAAAATCTAAAAGTATTTCCCCAGTGTACACAGACAGACTGAAATAATCACATGATAAAACAAACAAAAGCTATTACATTAAGTTCACCTGAAGCCCAAGAGGAAATAAAGTAAACTGTACACAAGTGTTAAATGAGATATGAATTGGAAGCACCACATAAAAAGTTTAGGAATTAGAATTGGCAGTGTATTCGGCAGGACTAACAGCATGACATGACTGGAAAAAGTCAACTGAATCTCTGGCTATATTAATAGAAGAATTGTACCTGTGTAGGTATCTGGGACCTACAATGTGCTAGGGAGGTCCTGCTGACACCTTCCTTTCCGCAGTCTGTTGCCCCATGGTTCTTTAGTCCACATACACTACAGGGTGGGGTGCTCTCTAACTCTGACATCCAGTCAGGTTTGGCGTGGTAGCAGGATACAGGAGGGAGGCCAGAGTACTTATCCCATAGGTCCTTCCATGGATGACTAAGTGCTAGCCATGCCAAAGGCCATAACACTGTCTACCCATAATCTGCATCCTTCACCTTCTTCCCCATCTCTGTACTTCAATAGCAACTTCTTTGTTCTCTTTCCTTTAAAGCAAAGGGTGGTAGGGATAGTCTTATTACTAGCCTCAGGTATGCCCCAATCCTTTAGGTATTTTGTAAATAGTCCTTTTACTCAGATCTCCTCAAATTGCCTAATTTGTATGGCATCTATCTTACATGTGTTTTCTGGCTAATAAACTAATATTTATCATATATCTGCCATATGCCAAGCACTTAACATGAGCTGTTGCATTTAATGATTTTAATATCCCTCTGAGGTGAGTTCTATCTTGCATGTACTACAGAAAAAGAAATGGAGGCACCCAGAGGTTGACTTATTTGAGGTCAAAGAGAAAGTGGGCGCTCAGTGTGAATTTGGCCCCAAGTGATCTGCCTTACAGACTGTGCTGGTGGTCACTAGGCCCTGCTCACTGTTCAGAATAGGTGTGGTCTCACTTGACAATACATTTTTCACCTTGGCTTTTTATATTCAGAGGGATGAAAATAAAGCTGTGTATACTGGCAAGCTAGGAAGAATGGAAGGCTCTCATAACTCTGAGAAATATGTAGAATGTGAAAATTTGCACTCTTTCTGGGAAGCAATTTGCCAGTAAGTATGAAGGACCTGAAAAGCATGCTGTCACCACTAGGCCCATTAGTTCCACTTATAAAAGTCTATCACAAGGCCATGAAATATGAACAGTGACAATTTCTAGGATGTTCGTTGGTGAGTGTATCACACAGATGAAATCTGAAATGATATAAATGTTTAACAGTAGAGAAATGGTTAAATGAATCAGTATATATATCTGTGTATAGGTACATAATCACATAAATATTGTCAAACATCAAAAATTTTTAAATTGTTTCTTTAAAGAGTTTGAGAGATTCTTACCATCCAAATATATACCATCCAAAGATTATCAAATTATGCACTCCATGTTTTAAAGTGTGTATGTGTATGATGTGTACTTATGTATATATAGGAAAAATGATTTTTAAATAAAACAACAGAATATTAACTGTGGGTATGTATTTAGGAATATGAATGATCATTTTTTCTTCATGACTTTCTAAAAATTCCAGTTGCATATAATACACTGGAAACATAAAGTTTAAAAAAGCAATAAATAACTATTGTTTAGTAAGAATTATGACACAAAACCTAAAAGAGAGAACATTCAAGATAGTATGGCTGCACAGCTGTGGAGGAGAGGGCTTTTTGTTTATTTTGAAAGGCTCAAAAAGAACCTTAACCTACAGAAATTAGAGGGAGATTTGCTTAATAAAAGGATAATTCTGATGAGATTTTAATCAATGGAAGCTGTTTGCCTCAAAAGGTTTAATTTTGCTATTTCTGCAAGTATTCAAGAGGAGGTTGACTATAATTTTTCAGGAATCTTCTTATAATCCTGTGAGCTTTATACAAATAGTTAAGTATAGGATTCTCTCACATTAGAGATACTAAGATGTAGATGGAACCAGATAATGACGTCTAATTATTCCCTTCCCATCAGAGATTTCTTTCTCTGGGATAAGGTATTATTGTTTCTGACAATTCTTTTTTAAACGTTTCTTTGCAGGCAAAGCAAAATGCCTTGCTATATTCAAAAGTAGTTCCTTTGGGAGCAGGGTACATATCTTTCCAGCATTCATACACTATAATAGTTCCAACTACATAGTCTACCTATAATGCCTCAGGTGTTTGGTTTTGTTTTTCCCCACAGTTGTTGTTTGTTATCATTGTTTGATACAAGTAAGCTAACATACCAGATCTGGTTAATACATCACCCCAGATCCAACCCAACTTGAACATCTGGGGCCTGGGGCACATACCTCACTTCGTAGTTGGACAAGCTTAATCTCGTAGCACCCACTATGTTTTCTAGCCCCTCCACTAGCTTCCCATGGAGGTGCAAAAATAAAAACGGACAGGGTCTCAGTGGATCAGATGTAGTGCTGACCTTCTCCCCGCCATCTGTTCAATATTATCTCAAGATATGCTCACATTGTGAGGCTTCTCTCACAGCACCCCGCATAAGCAACGGAACAGTCCTGTTTCCCTGAGAGGCTATGGGCACCTTCTGTTTTCCCTCTCTCTCTTTTCCTTTCACTCTCATGACACTGGAATTGTCTGCTCCCAACAAAACAGCTTTGCTCTCAGGTTTGACTTTTGAGAAAACTATGTTGCTAAGGTGATTGAAATTGTATTTTGAGGTAGTTGATTAGAGGAACTCAAGTCAATCCTATATCTCCTGCAAGAGGGAGCCACATAAATTCTGATACAAATAGCTAACAGGGCAACTGATTTACTGCCTGGATGAGGAAAGAACCCCTAAAATAATAAAAAACATGGCACAGATTGATGACAAGAGGGTGGGCATAAGAGAATGAGCAACAGAAGCCACCTCTGTCCACATCTAAAGCTCTCTAGCAGACTCACTTCTTGCCTTTACCTTGCCCACCTCTGTTAAGCAACCGATTGATGCCACCCTTCCTGCTCCAGAATCCGTTCTCACAGAGCTTCATCCTCATTGTGCTTTGAATCCTTGAGCCTTTACTCACCCGCTCTCAGCTCCCCTCCTGCAATGACCAGGCATGCCACACTCAAAACGTTGCTCCTGTCCACAGGGAATTCTAGAGTCCCCATCACATAGAGGCCCTTGAGGAATGGAAGATCAGTATCCACGAGAACAGTCTTGTCTGCAAAAGAAAAGGAAATTGTTCAGACACGTATACCTAAAACAGGAGTCATCTCTCTTCTAGTGATTTTCCTGGAGTTCTAGAAATTCAAGAGCTGCTTACATTGCAGCCTATGCCAGGACATGTGCAGCAACTGAAAGAACCAATAGTCTGCCAGAGGCAAGGTCTTATTTTAAAGGCCATGATTAGTAAGTGTTGCCATTGCTTAACACAACAAATGCCATGGCCAGAAGGCATGGCTTATGCCGCAAGCTCACAGCACGGCAA